TGGGCCGAAGGGCCAGTTCTATGTCAGCGGTGAAGGGTCACTCAAAAAGCTGAGACTGGATCCAGAGTGAAACTACCTCAGATCAGTGCAGTACTGGCTTAAGAACTGACAATGAACCTCGGTGTGGTTCGGTAGCAAGTGAAACAAAGCTGCTAGACACTGGGAAAGAATTCTCTCAACTTGGCGTTTCCAATTGGGCATCCTGTCTGGGACAGAGGCTAAGGTGTCACTTTTTCCATTCTGTCGGTTTGAATTGGGAGGAGCTTGGGCTAGTCAGTCCATTGAGTAGTTTAATAGTGACTATGATGCAGTCAGGAGTTGGCAGCAAGGCTTCAATTAGGTAGGTCCTGCCTGCATTGCTCAGAGGCACTAACCACAGTCTGTCTGATCTCTCAGTTTCACATCAGGCAGTGCTCACTCACTCACTCATTCGCTTTCTCACTCACTCACTCTCTCTCACTCACCCACTGTCTCTCTTATTCACCCACTCACTCGCTCACACTCAGTCACTCTCACTCACTCTGTCACCCTCTCACTCACTTACCCACTCACACACTTTCTCTCTCACTCACTCACACATCCACTCACTCACTTTCTCTCTCTCACTCACTTAACCACTCACTCACTCTCTCATTCACACACACTCTCTCTCTCACTTATTTCTCTCTCACACACACACCCACTCACACCCACACTCAGTCGCTTTCACTCAGTCACACTGTCTCTCTCTCAATTACTCTCTCTCCCTCTCTCACACACACACACACTCACTCTCTCATTCACACACACTCTCTCTCTCTCATCCATCCAGGAGCAGGAGGTGCTCTCTCTCTCTGTCCTTTGATTGGTTAATAGGAGGGATGTTACACCCTGGCCATAGGACACCCTGGATTCTCCAATCAGATTTCAAAACTCCATCTTGTGTTCAGATCATTCCACGGCTGTGAGTGATCCATCCTATGGTCTGCAATCTCCTCCAGCCCCCACCAACACCTTTGACCCCCCGTACTCTTTGTGAGTCTGACTCTGAGTTTGAGTGTAATCCCAGCCTGACATCTCCTTACAGAAGTTTAAAGTGAACAGGATAGTGTGTACTCCCCAAACCTCTCCACCTCTGCAACTTATCTGCTCCGTTAAACTTTCTTCAAAACTCAGAATATTAATGAACCTTTTCTTCACTCATTCCAATATTCCCAACTTTGCTGAAATCTTCCCTGATTCCCTCAAAGACACGATGTAGCTCAGTGAGATATTCCTGTCCAATGCAGACACAGTTATCAATCCAGGTGATTAATTTCACATCTTCATTTCACCTTCACGTCCCAGTGTATAGTGTATTCTCTGCCCAGTATACGATGATTCTCACAGCTGCCTTGTTTGCAGGTTTGGGTTGGCTCTGTCCTTGGTCTGTAACTTGTTGCTGTGGATGGAAGCTGTGACAGAAGAGTCTATCCATCAGACGGGGTCAGTGAGTGAGAAACATCCTGAGAATAGGAGTCACACCCACACAGGTAAATGTCCCCCCTACTCAGGAATGAAGTCTCATTGTTCCTCAGTGTCTACCAGACAGGAACAGCACGGTGTTAGATACAGAGTGAAGCTCTCTCCACACTGTTCCCATCAAATACTCCTAGAACAGGGACAGCATGGGGTTAGAAACAGAGATAAGCTGCCTACACTCTTTCAAACTAAAAGTAAAGCAGCCTCGACACTGTCACCATCAAATTCTTCCAGGACAGTAACAGCACAGGTTTAGACACAAAATAGTCCTAATAAAACATTCCTAGGATGGGCACTGATTTGGACTGGCTCCTGGTTATATCCATCTGTTGACTCAATGTATTTACCCATGAAGCTCATGTCAGAGGTTGGAATGGGACTGAGGTAACTACAAAATTCAATGGCAGAAATCATTGACAGTAATCATTAGCAGTGAACCCCACCAATACTGTACCTCAATGTTAAACAGTGACAGACCTGTCCC